AGATAGTTGTAATCTTTAGATTATAGCCTTTATGAAAAAAATAGTTGGATAGTGGGTTGCCATTTAAAAAAATTAAAAAAAATGTTAGAACTGAAAAGCAAAACAAAATTTCGAAAACATCACATTTTTTATAGTACTTTATCATTTATCAAATAGTTTTTTCAAAAAATAAATAGTTTAAGTAAAAAACGTCTAGTATGTAGGTTCTTCCATTTCTTGATTTTATCCTTTCATTCAAACAAAATAGGATAAAAGAAGTGTTAAAACAGGCAAAAAATGTCTTTTTTGGTTTCTGCATTATGTTTTTTAATTAAAGTTAGCTTAACATCAAAAATTTTATGATTATTTAAGATTTTATGCTTTTGATATTTGCTATTATGACTGATTTTTACGCTTTATAAGAGTCAATTATAAAAGTATAAAAGCCGATTCAAAAACGAAATAAAACAATTGTGAAAATAATCACAAGAAGATGAAGTTCCTTGGAATTGTGTTATTTTTGTTCTCACTTGTCGCGGCAAGTTTTGTAAATGCTTATCGTAAGTTTTTATTAGTGTTCACTTTTCTCTTAGTATATTTGGTTTTTGTTTTTAGCTCAAGAGCCAGAAGAGTCTTATTTGCCAAGAATGCTGCCTCCACCTCATCATCCTTATGTCCCAAGAATGAGTCCTCCCCAGGTTGATCAAGGACCAGCGGCACCAAGATCGTGGCCACCAGGACAAAAATACTGTCGATGGGGGAGAGGCATGTGTTATCTTACGAGATAAGAAATTAATTGGCTTTTTCAACAAATAAAGCAAGAATAAAAGATTTTTGTGTTTTATTGGAGAACAAAAATTTCTTCCATTTCTTCATCTGATATTTCTTTTCCAGTCCCCAAACAGAACAAAAAATATTGTGAAACTCTCTCACTGTAATTTGAGAAAAAAAAAACGACTTTGTTTGGACACACTTTTTAACATAGTATTTTTAGTTTGTTATTAACAATAAAAAATTACGAGCAAGTTTTTAGATTCAGGTTTAGGTAAGTTATTCAATACTTGAATATTATTCCCGATTTTATGATTTTTTTTAAGTCCTATCAAAAATTGTATTATAATTTTAGATTTTTTACGGTTTTTAAGATGCAATTTTACCTATTATATAATTTTGTATTTGACTAATTTTTTTATATAAATACTAATTCAAAAATGAAATTCAACGATTCTGTAAGTAATCACAACAACATGAAGTTTTTTGCAATTGTGTTAATTTTTTTCTTTCTTGTCACACCAACTTTTGAACAAGAGAAAGTTTTTTTCTAAAAAGAAAAATTTTTTAGTTTATCATTGAACACAATTTTTTTTTTTAAGTCTGGTTTATATTTACAGTCTCTAAACAGGACAAAAAGTAGGTATTGCAAAATTTCTACATAAAAAAAGTTTAAAAACAAGGTATTTTGGAAGCTCTTTTGAGGTAATTTTACTTGATTTTGCGTGATTTGCAACGGTTTTTAGGGTGCTTTTTAGGTAATTTTGTGTGATTTTCAATCATTTTTTCATGTGCCGAGTTTTTGATATTCTCTGGAGTGTGGGTTATTGTGGGATTTTGGGCTTTTTCTTGATGGTTTATGTTTTTTTTTTGGCTGTTTTTCCATAATTTTTGTATGTATTAAATGCCCTGGTTCAGTAGTAACATTTTACATACTTTTTTTTTGACATACATTTTTTAAATTTTTTATAAATAAGTCAAGTATTGAAAAAACTACGAATAAATTAGGTTTATAAGTTATTAACTACTTATTGGATTATTATTTATGCTATTTTGGAAAACTTTTCCACTTTTTTGCAATATTTCAAGATTTTTGACTGAAATATATGAAATAAATTCTACGGTTTTTAAGATCTAATTTAATTTATAATTATGTATGAGATTACTGATTTTTATTAAATGCCAATTTAAAGACGAACAATAGGAAGTTTTTTTGCAATTGTGTTATTTTTATTTTTTCTTGTTTCAGGAAGTTTTGAGAAAGATATTAATTTTTATTAGTGTTTTCTCTTCATTTAATTAAATTTACGTTAATTTTAGAGTTAAAACCAAAAGGAAGTTTTTTCTTGGAAAAAAACACCAAATTCGTAACATTTCTTTCTACAAAGTAAATCACTACAAAGTTTCTTTTCTTTATATTTCACGCCTACAAAAAAGTAAAGATTCAAGTTTCGAACAATTATTATTTTACATTGAAAACTGGTTATCGCAGAAGTAAAAAAAAATAAAAAAATAATGCACTTTCTAATAATCATTTTTGAAATCATTATTATATTTTTTTAATAAGCAAGAAAAGTCCATATTTTTTTTAGTGTTNAAAATATGTATTAATAAGTGAAAAAATATACAGGGTGAGTATAAAGTATGGAACCAAGCAGTTTTTTTTTAAATCATTGTCTTCAGAAAAAAAAATATAAATTAAAGTAATATAAAAAATGTGATCGTATTTTGAAAATGAAATTTTGAGTTACGTGATTTTTTTGTCAAAATTGTAATTTATGTAAAAAAAAATTAAAAAAATAAATATAAATTACATAGTTGTCAAAAAAAAAAGAAAATTAAAAAAAATTTCTTGATATAACATCACATTATTTATAGTACTTTGTATTCATCAATTAATTTTTCCAAAAAAAAAGCAAATAGTGTTTATACTTTTTATTTTTGCTGTATTACTGCATAACAAAAAGTTCTTTCGTTTCTTCATTTTTTTTATCTTTTTATCCTCACAAACAAAATACGATAAAAGAAATGTTAAAGAGTCAAAAAATGTCTTTTCTGCTTTCTGCATTAGGTTATTTTTAATAAAGTTAACTTAATATCATAAATTTTATGATCATTTAAGATTTCATGCTTTTGAATATTTGCTATTATGACTGATTTTTACGCCTTTTAAGAGTCAATTGTGCCATAATTGTTTGATTACTGATTTTCATATAAAAGCCGATTCAAAAACGAAATAAAACAATTGTGAAAGTAATCACAACAAGATGAAGTTCTTTGGAATTGTGTTATTTTTGTTTTCACTTGTCGCAGCAAGTTTTGTAACTGCTTTTCGTAAGTTTTGTTATTCACTTTTCCCTTAGTATAAATTTTTTTTTAGCTCTAGATCCACAAGAGTCTTATTTGCCAAGAATGTCTCCACCTTATTTTCCTTATTCCCCAAGAATGAACCCACCCCACGTTTATCAAGGACCACCGCCCATGGGACCAAGATGGGGGCCACAAAAACAAAATCAATTCTGTGACTGGTTTAATGGTGGAGCTTGTTATTAAACATTTTACGAGAAAAGAAATTAATTGTTCTTTGCAACAAATAAAGCAATTATAAAAGATTTCTGTGTTTTATTGGAGAACAAAATGTTCTTCCAACAGAACGAAAATACGAGAAAAACTACGAGAAAAATAAATAATTTTATTTTTGGTGAAGATTATTTAGTTCAGTTTAGCGAAATAATCTTAAAAAACACTTCAAACAAATTTTTTTTAATAAAGCAGAAATTTTAGTGATTTTTGGTTCAGTTTAGCAAAATCTCGCGCAAATCTTAAAGACAAAACATAAAATCGGGTCATTTTCTTGGATAATTACGTTTCGTGGAATTAAAAATAATAAATATCGATTTATGTGCTTAAAACATCATTTATTTAAAAATTACAATGGTTACGTGAGATTAAAAAAAAATACTTAATTCTCCGTAATCTATAAAAAATTCAACTTCAAAATTATAAAATGTGGAATTTTACAAAAAAATAAAGTTGAAATTACTAATTTTACTTTTAAAACTTCTTCA